CGACTAAAGATGTTGATAGCGGTGGCGTGCAGCAAAAAGTATTATAATAATAATGATGATGACATAAAAAGATTAAAATCACAATCATAATAAAGGAGAAAAATAAATGAGAAAGAAAACGGGACTTATTTTTCATATAATTCCTTTTTTTTTTTTCCACAGTTTTATGATTTTTAGGTATGGGCAATGCTGCACGCGCTTCAAGCTAGGCCATGACAGTTGAGTGCTATACCTGAGTACATAGGATATAGTGTGTAGTATATAGTATCATACCTTGCTGTGACGGTGACGGCGACGGCGATGGCGACAGCGACGGCGACGGACATGGCCCTGGCGACGGCAATGGCCCCAGCGACGGCGATGGCGATGTTGCTGCTTAAGATGGATGAGAATGTTAATCTTCGATTAGAACGACATGTCAACCGAGCTTTTTTTTACTGTGTACAGTTTTCCTCCTGGCACAAGTTTTTTATATTTTTCAAAATATTGGGTAGCGAGTGACACGAAACGCAGAGGGCGTAAATTCAAGCTTGTCACCGTTACTCAATTTACAAAACTTGAATGAAACGGATATTTTATAATAAGTGGACGCTAGCGAGGACCTTTTTGATTTCCTTTCAACGCAGGTTTTACTAAATGTGTCGCCACTGTTACGAAATACTTTACCCGAAGTGTGCTAAACGAACGGACGCTATTGGAATACATTACAAATACTTGGAACATCCCCATTGTTAACGCTACTATGAGAAGAAAAGACTAATAATCACATTACCGCATTAGGGTATTATGTTGCACTAATCACATTATAACATTCAGATAACCTGTAACAATATCACAGCGTTTAGGTATTGTTTTCTCGCAAATGATATTATGGCATCAGGGGGCCGTGCACAAAGAATAACATTAACCAGAAACTTTGGACTCATCTGATAAGAGTAGAGATATGTGGCTTTTGCAAGAGCCTCGTCGATTAGAGTCCAGAGTTATCGGGATATGAAAGGGTCGCATTTAACTTGTTGTATCATTTCAAGTTTAAATATGTCCTTTCCGCTCTTTTTCTCACAACGCACACGCTTAACAACTTACCTCCTATCTTAATTCACGACAAGGAGGGGGTGGGCAGATCGAACTAGGAGCGTGAGTGCTTCATGCCGTCCGACAAAGGTACAGAGTACGATAAACAACTAGTTACAACTGAATTACTTCTCGCGCAAAAAAAACATTTTTTGTGCCGACGCGTGACAAGAAACCCAGAAGAGCCAGTGGAAAAAATGGGTACGTATTCCCTATCCTAATGCTGGGCACCAACCTCTGAGGGTTAGAGGTAAAACAGGCTAAATTATGAGAAAAAATTAACTTAAAGCTCGAAAAGTTCGAAAAATGAGTTGTATACATTACGAATGTCAAACCTTCTTTTCGAACTACAGCAATATATCATATATATATTAAAATAAAATAGAATAAACACAGGACTGATTCCGCGAAGCGAAGAAAAAATAAATTTGCAAGTCTTTTGTATTTGTTTTATAAAACGATAATTGGCATATATCTCAACAGACATGAGTCCCTGGCATGGCTCTTTGCAAAAGATAACGCACCTCACGTCATCACACGTTGTTATCTAAAAAAGCAATTGGACTGATATTTCTTCGCAATTGGTATTCACCATCATTTTGTTCAATCGAAACAATAAATTAACTACATGAAAATAACTGATAATTGAAAGTTTACTGTTATTACTGGTAACAGAACCATATGTAATTTTCCTCTGCTCACAAAGCTAAAAGTTAGACATATGTATCGTGAAAAAGTTAATTGATATCGTTTCAAACATATTTTCATTCATTCAAATGTTAGTGTAAACTTGATTCTGACTGTCAGAGGGTTTATGTAAATCCTTTCAAAAGTTCCACAAACGATATCAAATAATGTTTTTATGATGCCTAAGCGCTTCTGTTGCCGTTAGTTTCCTCAAAATAATATAAAAGAAAGCAACCAAACAGAAAAAAAAAAAACAAAACAACAACAAAAATAACAACTTACCCGTTTTGCGCACCGAAATCTTGTACCGAAAGATTTTAAAAGGTATACTTAAACGTACTACAAAATGATAAAAATAAAAGCAAAAAATACTAATTATCATGATGATAATCAAAGTTATAAATAATAATAATAATGATGGCATAAAAAGATTAAAATCACAATCACAATAAAGGAGAAAAATGAATGAGAAAGAAAACGGGACTTATTTTTCATATAAAACCTATTTTTCATATAATTCCTATTTTTCATATAATTCCTATTTTTCATATAATTCCTATTTTTCATATAATTCCTATTTTTCATATAATTCCTATTTTTCATATAATTCCTATTTTTCATATAATTCCTATTTTTCATATAATTCCTATTTTTCATATAATTCTTATTTTTCATATATTCCTATTTTCATATAATTCCTATTTTTCATATAATTCCTATTTTTCATATAATTCCTATTTTCCTATATAATTCCTATTTTTCATATAATTCCTATTTTTCATATAATTCCTATTTTCATATAATTCCTATTTTTTTTCATAATTCCTATTTTTCATATAATTCCTATTTTCATATAATTCCTATTTTTCATAAATTCCTATTTTCATATAATTCCTATTTTTCATATAATTCCTATTTTTTCATATAATTCCTATTTTTCATATAATTCCTATTTTTCATATAATTCTTATTTTTCATATATTCCTATTTTCATATAATTCCTATTTTTCATATAATTCCTATTTTTCATATAATTCCTATTTTTCATATAATTCCTATTTTTCATATAATTCCTATTTTTCATATAATTCCTATTTTTCATATAATTCCTATTTTTCATATAATTCCTATTTTTCATATAATTCCTATTTTTCATATAATTCCTATTTTTCATATAATTCCTATTTTTCATATAATTCCTATTTTTCATATAATTCCTATTTTTCATATAATTCCTATTTTTCATATAATTCCTATTTTTCATATAATTCCTATTTTTATATAATTCCTATTTTTCATATAATTCTTATTTTTCATATAATTCCTATTTTCATATAATTCCTATTTTTCATATAATTCCTATTTTTCATATAATTCCTATTTTTCATATAATTCCTATTTTTCATATAATTCCTATTTTTCATATAATTCCTTTTTTTCATATAATTCCTATTTTTCATATAATTCCTATTTTTCATATAATTCCTATTTTTCATATAATTCCTATTTTTCATATAATTCCTATTTTTCATATAATTCCTATTTTTCATATAATTCCTATTTTTCATATAATTCCTATTTTTCATAATTCCTATTTTTTCAACACCTCCAGTTTTTGTTTGATCATTGTCAATTAATACTATACATCTTTCTTCCTTACGGCGTCCGCCATCTCTAACCTGCTTTTCTGAATTAGTTAACTTCACATCAGCTAAGATTATCTGTGAGTTCATGTAATTTTGGTAGTCGAGATTTGAAAATTAATTATTTCCTTGTTGAGCTGACACCACCCTCACCCCGCCCCCTATTCTTCCTCCCCATCTGAACAGACTTAAAAAACGTAAAATTAAATGTGAATGTAAGTTCTTATAAATGTGCAACAGCGGCACGGCAACGGTTGCTCGAGTCACTAGCTACAACCTTAGCTTCGTTGCCTTTTTTCATAAATATATTTCGCTTTGCCAGCTGAGAAGTATTTTTACGTAAATCACTTTAAAGCAAATCAAGCTGATTAATTACTTATTAATTCTCTCCTTCTCTTTCTCAAGTCACTGTGGCTGCCAGCAAAAATAATGGTTTTGAAATGATTTTTGGTAGCAAATATGCTATTAAATGGGTTGACACGCGGCATAAAAACCGTTTGTAATTAACCTAGACCTTCACTAGAAGTAACTTAGGAAGTTAGAACGTAACGTATTTGTTTAAAATTGAATTAATTGATGGGGTTTTCATTCATTTTATATCTGAAATCGTTCAAACAATTTGTTCATTGAAAAACAGTGAGCGATATCTTCAGTTCTATACTTTAAATACGCTTTCGGTAAGTCTTTGCAAGTCCACTCAATATGGACATTTGTACCGTAAACTTCACAAAAGAAAATGAAGGAATTCAACGAGAAAAAGCGACATTAAAATTCCACTTTTGACAAAAGACCAGATTTACACACGCGATTGCACCAAGTGCATGCACTTTTGTTTCTTACACGCTCTCTACTTTACAGGTGTCAGGTTGTGATAGATACTTGTTAAAAAAAAAGTTTCAAAGTTTGTTTGGAAGCCTTTTAAATCATCTTTTCCATTACAAAAATAAAAATATTTCGGTAAAGCCCCTATTTAATTTGCATTACCTCAGTCTGTTTCAACTACCATTTACTCGTTCAAAAATTGTTCAGTTCATGGAGGATCTTGCCGTAATTACAGCCCTGAATCATTAGGGTTCTTTTGGAAAATATTTCGTTGAGTTTAAAAGAAAAAGAACTGTTATTCATAAGCTAAGGTCGGGAAAAACTGTGCACTCTGTCTTCAGTACCGGTACTCAAGACCTTGGGCATACGTACTTCGATGCGTTATGTTTAAAAGAAGACGGATTCACTCACTGACGTCAGTGATCACGCCTTGTAACTTGTAGCAAGGGAAAATTCCGTTGGTTAGATTATCCCAATCTCAGCGCGCTCGACAAAAGTTGTGAAATGTACAGTTTCCATCGCTGTTTTTCCAGCTACAGGCGATGCAAAGGGAAAATCTCAGGGTGATCATTTTTTTTCGAAACATATGTCCCCGTTTTTGTCATGGCTATTATGTTCAACTACTGATACACGCTTAAAAGTTCATTCGTCGCTCACACGTACAAGTTAGGTAAGCCGAACATATTATGTGAACAACATTTTTACTTTTAAGAAGCAAGAGAAATTTTCCTGACACAAGTGCAAGACTGCTAATGTTTCAGCACATAATATACTTCATGGTTGGAATGTGATCTTACCTCCGGACATCTCGCAAATGAAGGCGTTTTTATCGGAACAAGAGATACCATTAAAGAGGCCTCCATTCTTAGATATTTCCGCGCAAGAGTCGTTACCATCTGGCTGAGAATCTCGCCATTTCGAAATACTTAGATTTTCTCTACTCAACCAAGTCCAATCCCCGTCTCTCTTCCTTAAACCGATGTGCCACGCACTAGTATTCGAAGTACCACGCTTTTGAATCTCATGACTGATAAACTGCCATTCTTCTTGAGTTTCGATGGAGACTAAGTAGCCTCCCTGTTTGTAACAGACAAAGTTGTTTTGATACCAATCTCTTCCGCTTTTCGAAAATATGTAGGATGAGTTTTTGAAACAGGTTACTTGGCACTCTATCGGAAAAAAATTAAGGAATAAATAAGCGAAAAAAAATGTATACTGATTGTAACAATAGTGATAATTCTGATGATGGAGACAAAGGAATAAATAAATAAACGAAAAAGTGTATACTGATGATAATAGTAACAACGATAAAGATGGAGAAGAAAAAAAAATATACCATTAATGATAAAATAACAATGGGCATCAAAACCCTCTACCTCACCGAAGGAAAAATTAGAATTAGGCAAGGTTTTAAAAGTGGAAATTGGGGAATCAGGGTAATAGCACCGTTAGTCTCTGACTTTTTTGTTTTGCTTTCCAACTAAAGTTTTTAATCACAAAACGATGTCATTCCAGCAGGAAGTCTGACTAATTATTTTGATAATTCAGTCAGATCCTTTTTTTTCAGTTCATTTTAAGATACTTAAATATTAAATTGTAATTACACTGCCTCACCTGTTCCTGGCAATTCCATCATCAAATGAAGGATGACTGTAGAAGAGAAAATGGGCAAAGTATTTTATTGCTATGTCGAAAATAACTTTTGAAACGACCAAAGAGTTTTTTAGATTTCAAGATTTACTAGTACTTAAGCATTTTAATTGTTAAAGAAATTGAAAGGAAAAAAAAAAATGCAGTGTCTCCGCAACCGGCTGAACAAAACTTGTTGCATATCGAAAACATGTCAAAGGGATTCGTTTGGTTGGCGTTACTCGCAGACGTAACTTGGAAAGTATTATGTAAAGGGAAAAGGAGGTGAATAGCGAATACCAAAAAGTACCAGGTGAAATTTCCCAGTTGTTCATAATGTTGTTCTGCTTATTCAAAGCATGACAAAAAAAGAAAAAAAAAAAGAAAACAATCTCTGTTTTTCATGGAGTCGAGCATTACCAGCAAACAGAAAAAAAACGTTTACGACTAAAGATGTTGATAACGGTGGCGTGCTGCAAAAAGTATTATTTGAAGAATAATACGCAAAACAGGTTCAATCTGTCATATATCTCTTTCCTTTGATTTTGTTTACTTGAAGCTCAAAACTAATATGAAAATGAAAGAAAATTGCGGTGAAAAATGAAAAAGACTCGGTTTGTAACTGTGCCTCGAATAAACCGGGATGGGCGCTGATTGCATTGGGCAAAGACTTCACATGCTCGGAGCAAAGCAAATATTAGCGTCTCATAGCCTTGTTTTCCATGAATTTACCTAACTGCCACTGACAGCTAAAGATAATTCCGTCATTCTCTTTATGGAGAGGTCAAAGATATGGATTAGACATTTAATTTAAATTCAAAAAGTTCAAAATTATCACTTCTCGGAATAGATAACCTTAAATAAATGCACCCTACTCAAATCGCGCGGTATTATTCCAAGTCAAGAGAGTGCCGTTGAGAAACCATTAAAGTGTTCTTTATGACCATCAGAAAAAAGTCTGGTGTGCTCAGAGACTTGCTACTTGAAAAAAGAAAAAAAAAACCAACAACAGCGTTAATTCCGGTTTGTTGGGTGCAACCTTTTTGTTGTTCCGCTTTCCGTCCGTATTTTTGCGCTGTTGTATAACGGAATACTGTGGGAAATTGTACATGTTCATTGCCCAAATACGGCAAGTGGCGCAGTAGTGGAGTTATAAAAAGGTATATTTTGCAACAATGAATTAAACGACGAGGAACTGTGTAACTGAATGAATCTGAATGAATCTTTATCTAGATTTATAAAATTGAAACTATGCGTACCGAATTCTTTGAAAAGAAAACTTTTGACACCGATGTTTAATGCCAAATTTATCATGAGATCGATGAAAAGCATGAAGACGGTACTATGTTTCATTTTCTCTTTTTCTAACTGGAGTGGAATTTATTAATTAACTGTCTGCGGGGTTTTTGCGTCCGTTTAGAAAATAATATCCTACAACTGAAGCCGATAAAAATGTCGATCAAGCAGGTAGTTAATTAAAAGGGACATAAAAGGTAGACCCGTCAAAAGCTGAACTGTCGCTGACGGCATTCATTTTAAAAAACTTTGTCCAAACTTGCCTTCTGTTTACCACAGTAATCGTTTTCTATGTAGCGTGTTCATAAAATAAGTTCAAATGCAACTCCCATTTCTATACATGCAAGATTGCTCAAGGAAAACGTCAGAATAAGTTTTAGTCAACGAATTTAATTCGTTTTTTCGCGAAAGAGATCGCACATGGTTTTTGTGTATTTCTCGGGTGACATCTTGTCACACCAACTTCAGAATTGAAGGTAGGCAACTATGCTATTATGTTCCTGCAACACTTCGTAATATTTCTAACAGGCTTTTTATTAAACATCAATTAAGCACAACAATCGTGAATTATAACTACCAGTTCAATTTTAAAACCGGAAAACTGTTTTATCGAGGTCAATTGTATCCAAATCATTTTGCGTCTGAACAAAACTAAAAACTACACTTGTAAACAAGTTAAAACATGTCTCTTCCTTTTTTAATCTATATTTTTATTTTCATTACCTTTATTACTTTCAAGTATTATAAAACTTAAGAACACGTGTTACCAGAGTTTCGGTTGGATTTCGCTTGGGGTTACAGGATGTTCCAATACCGAAATATTTATATCTAACCAGTCACTATTTACTTAAAATTTCCATGGAATGACCAGAAGATATAGTGAACGGTGCAAAAACTATGTAAAAAGTTTCAAACTCAGCATTTAGCCAGTTGTTTTATATGATAAAACTCAAGAGCAGACGTTGTCAAGTCCAATTGTTTTGTTATAAGAGAAATGAATAGTTGCTACTTGACTTGCGTCTCTCTGGTTTGAAGTGGCCGAGGGTAACAGGATGCCCCGATACCGACATATTGATATCCCATCATTAATTTTTTAATTCTTTATCTTCCCTATTTCTAAAGCACAACCAAGAGAATTAGTAAAGCTTGTACTTACTCAGCGCACAACGTAAAGACAGGGCTGTGGACATTTTGCTGGTTTGAATCCCACGCATCGCACCACTCATCAACTTCCTGAATCAGAAGTTGCTGTTAGTTTATGTCTACACCCTTATAATGGTCCGTGACTTAATAAAATCACAAGAGCGGCAGATTTCAGACGTTTTTCAAACTATTTTGTAGGACGTGAATGTAATAAACATCACATTTGACCGCTTTTTGCTGACACGAGCCGCGAAAGATCTATTTTTTCCGCTCGGACGGACCAATGAGACTAAAAGCTCTTTGCACCAGATGCAGAATGCTGTTTCATTTAAAAAATAAAAAATACAAGTAATTCACAACACAAAAATAACTTCATCAAGTTTTGTTAACGTGAAGATGAAAATGGGTGATTAAAAAAAGTTTTAAATAACTCAAAACTAATCAGGATCCACTTTCATAAGTGGTTGCTATTTGGAAATAAATGTTATATCCATTGAAAACTAGTACAAATATACTATCTGTTCATCGGCGTACACCCCTGCAGAGACAACCGTCATCGATCCATCAATAGATAAAAGTGCGTGTTTTAATTGGAAATTTAGACCCGTATAATATTGACTTTGCCGGCGGGAATGATTCAGTAATATATTCGTGCAGGTGAAAATGCAAATGAACCACAATTCCACATGTCAAAAACACCTAACTTATCCGTTTGATCAGATCACTTGTTCGATGTGAGTCGATTTTTTTTAAGTTGATCATCAGGGCGGTTAGCGGGAAATAGTTGAGCCCTAAATCTGCATCAGTTCCTTTCTCTTATCACAAAACTTCTTCGTTAGTGCACATTGTGTAATGACGTAGTTTATATCTTCGCAGTTTGAAAGCCCTACCTATTTCCCGGCTACATGCAAATGTGCTGGAAACTAAATTCATCAGAAAAGAGCGCTTAGTAAGCAACGTCTTTTTTCCGAATGACGGCCTTAGAAATATTATGTTGGCGTGGCTCAACAAAAAATTAGAATTTAAGCTGATGTTAGATATTAAATTACATTCTGTCCAAAACAGGAAATTTTGATCGCAACATATTCCAACACGGGAGGAGAGGATACCTTTAACAGGACTAGGTGATCCTACGCGAGTTATATCTTCAAGATCCCGATATACAAATCAGCGGTGCAATTTTCCTCCCCTCCCTTGCTTTTATTTTATACCAGCGTTGAAAAAGGTCGTACTAGTTACAACATATGTTAAGTCGACAAAGCTCCCTTAAGTGTTCAACGGAAAGGATATGTGAAGTCCTTTGATGAATGTTCATCCGAATGATATAGTCCTTTTCAATTAATTTCTATATCGCAAGAGATCAACAAGCTTGGAGCTTGCTTTCCATCGCAAAGAATGCGACAACATATAATGTTTTGCATGCTTCGACATGTTAATTCGAAAGTAGTTATCATAAACTAAATGGATTGAACAAAACTATACCTTTTTTTAATCGAATAATTAACTAACTGTTCCCTCAGGCGTGAAAACTGTTTTAGGCGGGCGCTTGACTGTTTGTTTTTCTCTCGATGTTTTTGTAATCCCTCAGTTCTTAAACGACTGTGAATATATGAATAATATATTTTATGTATGAAAGTCATATTCACCCCTTTATTCTTGTACTCCTTTTCTTTTTGGAAGCAAGGAAGGTTAACTTCTATGTAGTTATTGAGCCATCAAAAAAAACCAAAAACAAAAAAAAAGAATGCAGCAGTGCATGCGTGAAGTAAAACTAGTGCACTGCTCAGAATGATCCTAAATGATTGAGCCATTTTTTTGGCGCCGTTTCTTCTCTTTCACAGGGCCCCACGTAAAAGTAAGTTAGCCATCTGAGTAAGTTAGCGCCAAAAACAGGTAACTCGCTGATTAAGCACTGCTATTAATATCCCCTACCGCCGCATTTCGCACTCGAAAAAAAGTACAAAAAAAAAAAAAAAAAAAAAAAAAGAGCCGCCTTATTTCGATAATTCACGTAACGTTTTTACCGGCGGGAGTTTGTTAGTCGTCTATTGAGTCAAATAAAAATATCGCTCTTCACGAGAATTGGCAAAACGTTTTAATAACAATGCGGCCCGCCTTTAATTAGAGCGCTATGGTTAACTTTATCACACCTTGGGATTTACTTCACGCACCTAACCGTCTGATTGACAGCAGCTGAAATCTGCAAGTGACCCAAGTATTCCAAAAGCTAATTCTGTTCACCAGTCACAGCTGCCTAGCTCTAGACATACTAACTGATATTCCGCTCGATGTTAGTTGGGCAATAAAAAGATCGTAACATGCGCGAAATCAAACCTTTTCTGCCATTAAAACATTCTCCCAGTGTCTTTCTCATGGAAACTTAAACAAGCACGAGGGAGGGAGGGGGGGGAGATGGGAGGGAGTAGAGTGAGTGATTTCGCTCGAGACCAGCAAAATTCCAATCCTTTATACATAAATACATAACTTTATTTCCGTTCGAATTTCAGAGTAGCATGGTGGTGCTAGTTTCTCCGAACAAAGAAACTGTCTAAGTAAGTAAATAAGTAAGTTGGATTCATTGAAAACACTAATTTAACTCGTATTTAAATTACATTAAATAAATAATCAAATGTATTAAATAAGATAGGTAAAGTTACTTGTTACTTATCAATAAAATGATCAACAGTGTTCGCAGCAAGTATTCCGAAAGTCTTTAATACAAATATCATTTCTTAAGTCTTTCAAATCATTGATTCTCGAACATATTCGTCTAAATAGTTCCATCTTTTCGCAGCAAAATATTACAGGCGGAATATATAAAATATCAATACTTAACTTCCTTAGTGTAACTCTATTTTAAATGATTTGAAGCAGTTCGTATTTTTTTTTCTGTTGAACCCAAGCCATATTTATATACAATCAATAGGCTCCAAAGAAAAGTTGTATATATGTTCTTCCTCTGAGATCAGCCATGAAAAAAAATGTGAAAAAAAATGACTTTCTGAGTTTTTTTCCTCTTTTTGTTTTTCGCCTCAATGCTACGAAACGCTAGGAAATTCCTGCTATAACTTTGTGTGTGCGAGACGATTAATGCTTAAAGATCTGTTTTTTCACTGATTTCGATGAAGTATTTTACTTCCTTTCACTTTTTATTTTTACTCTCTCTCAACCTAGTAGATATGAGCCTCTCTTGATAATAATAAATAATCAAATTCTTCGTCTTCTGCTATGTGCCCTCTAACAATACTCTCCAGCCGCTGTAACAGGTCATGTTCTCTCTTACGTAATTTACGGAGGGAAGACTCGACGACATCCTCTTGAAATCTTACTTTCTTTTTTCCTCTACGTTTGCTGCAGTCGTCATTGCTTTCACCTTTCAGAGGTTTTAACATGTTGCTTATCCTGTCGAACAATGCTTGTCTCTTTGTACTGCATTGCTGTTTATCTATTGTTTCTCTGGATCTTTTCTTCCTCCAAGCTATGATAGCTTGACTTATTAAATCAAAGTTAAGATTGGAACTGTTCGTGGGGTCAAGGCCAATGTTTCCTGATTCTTTGTCCTTCACTTCTACCGACGTTTTGGAGGTTAACGATTGTTTCAATTTGTTACTGATTGCATTGAAAAATTCTTTTCTTTCTTTTGAGCTCGAGCAACGGTTCTCATCGATAAGATCATACAGCTCACTTTCGCTCACATGGTTCTTAGCATCCAAAAGAGCATCGTTGATTATGCCGATAAAGATGTTCATACAGAGAATAGTGAGCGTGAAGAGAATTAAGAAGGCGAATATTTTGGCGTATATGGTATTAGCCTGTGCTAATTCATTGATTGGTCTAGCTTTCACTCGATCAAGAGTTAGCTCGAGTTGAAAATAGGTTCCTTTTAGCACCGAAGAGTAGCGCTCAGATACACAGCCAAACATCAAGACACCGAAGTGCAAAAATGCCACAAAGAAAATGAATAAAACGATGCTAAAGGATGACAAAGATCGTGCAGATATCTTCAATGTTGTGGAGAATAGAGCAACATAGTTGTTGAAGCGAATGACTCGCAATAGCTTGGTGGTGACGATGAAAGTGAGAATACCCAGTACCACATTTTCTACTTCTTGGCAAGTGATACCTTCTTGGAAACTTAGATTTGCATAAATGTTTTTATGCAGTTTGCCCATGGTTGAAATGGCTTTACTTTGTCGTATTATGTACATCACCACAGCAATCAGAGAAAAAAGAATCTGGAATACCTCGACCCCATTCCAGATAGACTTGAAATATCGAGAACGATGACTGTAAAGTCTGAAAATTTCCCTTCCAAAATACAAAAAAACCAATACAATGTACAGAAGCAAGGAAATCAAATAAAACTGATGTGAGGGCGTGTCCGTAGAATCAAGTGAAAGAACATGAGTTTGCATGGAGGCTGCTTTCAGTCCAGATGCATCAACTTCATAGAAGTATGTGGCAACCCCTAAAATATTCACCGACGGATTATATGTGGAAAACTCTGCCAGGACAACTCTGGTTTGCCTGTCAAGCCAACCGTTGTTTTGTAAATCTGTTACTATGCTGAACCCTGTAAGGTTATCATACCCGAGGTCTGCTACAAATCCTCCTCCATCATAAAAGGAGGACTGTCCCCACCTGGGTCTAGTGTCGGTTTCCTCGGCATGTTGATATCGCCATGGCTTCGGGCAAAGTTGTAATAACTCGTCATTCCTCACAGTACTGTCGACAGGCCTCCAGCCTGGTTTGTTGTAGGCGGTCTTGTCTTCGTTCTTTGTCGAGTATCCCTTGAAACACATATAGTTTAGGACTTTACATTTCGCTGAAAGTTGGAACAAAGGATCATAATCAGGAAGTTTGTTTTGGTATTCATTTCACTCAGCGGTTTGTCACATTTCGTACTTTTTTAACAAATATGGACACCTCTGTTATAGAGAATTAAAGTTGTTTTAGAAGCCTTCAAAGTAGCATTTGCTTGCAGAGGAAAGGAGAGCCGTCGTCAAAACCTAAATTTAATTACCGTTCATAAAAAAAAACGCAGCTACCTAAACACTCGTCTCGATAACTGTTAGAATGGTCAGGACTCGAGGAAATTGTTACCGGTGCATGTTAAAAATTTTTGTCTTCAAGAATTTCAAAAAACTTATTGTTTAGCTCAATATTTAGGTTTGATCGCTTCTCTGTCAGACTAAATTATATATGTATAACCATACAATAAAAAAATAACGTGTGTGGGTAAATAGCCTTTTCACTGAAATGCAAAAAGTAATAAAAATGGAAAAAAAACTTACTCGCTTTCACTCTGAGTTGCCTTACTCGAGCCATTCCGACGAGAAGAGATTGTTTATTACCAATATAAATTGTTTGCTCGTCCCTTTGACCGTTGTACCATCTGCCGGAAAACACTCCTGGGATGAAAACACGCTGTAACCAGCTCCAGTACATTGTATTGTTTGTCACCTGAATTAATACAAGATCATTGGGTCAAATAAATAAAATAAAATTCAAAAAAGCTATATATATATATATATATATATATATATATATATATATATATATATATATATATATATATATATATATATATATATATATACATATATATATATATATATATATATATATATATATATATATATATATATATAAGTGAATTGTCATCATTTAACCAACGTAACGAAGTCGTGTCTTCATGCCGTCACAGCTCAACAAAGCATCTTAAGTTACCGCCACATTTATTACGTAAATTTTATAGTATATCTACGATGGTTACAAATATTCGTTCCATTAAAGCTAGTTACTTTATTTATGGGCGTGTCTATTATTCTCACTTGCTTATTTTAATTGCACCCGTCCCCTCAAATATTATGTTGCCGCTTTCTGGTTTTCTCTTATGGCAGAATTGAAAGCCAATCTCTTCATGGGATTATATATCTATCGCTTGGAATTTCTTTCAATTCCTAAATTTGAGTCTCGCGCACTAACATATCTCTTGTACGCTGTTTCTAAAGGGATATTCTTCCTCAAAATATCCATTACAAGAGCAGAAAATGCCTTAGTCATTTCTTGAAGAGACCGGCAAAGTAAAATTTTCCTTCATATATTTGATTTTGAATCTCCATGGAAACAAAAAATCATAAGATAAATTAAACACGCGAATTTCAGCAATGAATTTATCATAATCAAATAATGTTTACTCACTTTGCCAAAGTTTGGTAGTCCATCTCGGATTGATTTCGTCATCAAGTACCGATGGTCATTTCTGTTTCCATAGCATACTGCCATAAGCAAGAAAACGAAGACCAAGTATAAACCCAACTCTGTGAAATAACGTGTCAGGTTCTGTTTCTTAGCTTGTCGTCTCCTCATCTCTTCCACCTCTGATAATTGCAGTGCCCAAAAATGTTTCTTAAAGTACCCAGATTTCACTTGCTGAGGGCTTTCGCAGGCGTGTACTTTTGATCTCTTCGCCTTTATCTTTAAAATGGCCGCGAATGTTAAAGCTGTGAAGAATACCTTTACTGGTTCCTTGATTGTTACGTCCTGCGCGAATGAGATAAGCATCGAAGACAGCCACTGCTCACTGACACTCTTTTCCCAAACTAGACTGTAGAAAATTGAAAAGACGCAGCTGAAACAGTACAAGAAAAAAACAACAAACACCAAGCGATACCAGAGATCAGGGTACCTTTAAGACAATAGTCATTGTTCGTGGAAGACTTTCCAGCTCCTTTCTGAAACAGAAACACTGTAAAAATGTTTATGGGTGTCACAACAAGTGCGCTTTGAATTCCAGTTACCACTTGTCTCCACGACATTTTCAGCGGTCCGACTTGGATAGGCTGTTCATATTTGCCCTCTAACTTGTAGAACATCGCGTTAGCAAACATAGATGTCAAAAGCACTGAGAGGCAGCAAGACAGCCGCTGTACTCTTGTAAAGCGGCTTTTTCTCAGCTTGGCTGCTACTGAAATCCAAATATGCGACTCCGCAAGTCCTCTTCGCCAACGTCTTGCAACTTCATTGCCAAAATCCAAATTATTTGAGGTCTGGTCGATTACTCGCTCGATGCGCCCATCTCCGCGCTCAAGAGCAAACCACTGATTGGCCATGAATTTCCACGACTGTTTAGATTGTACGTCCCGAATCAGGATTTCTTCTAGGTACCACGAGGGACTATCTCCAAAATTATCATGTCCAATCTTCACTCCTTGAATCTCACCCAGTGATTTGTTAACATAAAGTACAAAAACATCTGAATTACCTCGTGAGAATAACGTATTCACTGCACCAGGTTCTTCTTGGCTAAGCTGAAGAATGCCACTCTTTCCATCAGAACCGTAAATCTCCAAAGCAACATGAGCAGTCGTGCCTGAGTTTTTCCAAGCCCCTGTAGTGATCACTATATTATACTGATAGGTGCAGCTTGAAGGTGATGGAAGTTTGATCGGTGCCTCCCTCTTAAAAAAACATAATAAAGCATGAATTATGGCTAACTGATTTATATTCTAAATTCAATTTTTTTTTCCAGTCCAAAAAAAAAAAAAAAGGGCTGTCACTTAACTTTTTAAAGGCTTTTTTTTTTCTTAACACTTTAACTCCCGGGGTGATCAACATGCAACTTCACCCAAAAATATCTGTACATTATCTAGGTAACAGATCATGAGAACACTCAAAATTGTCAGGTAGATTTTGTTATCTTGATAAATTAGCAAATTGTCATGACCTATTTACAAAAAATTGTAAAGCAACCGGAGGGAGATTTAACAACAAGATCATAGGAGTAAAGTGGCTATACTGGAGAGCATGCTCCGTTTAAACAACAGTCCTAAGCAAAATATGGCTCGATACTCACATTTTTGGCGTCTTCCTCGTCGAATTTCCGTACGATGATAAGCACAGTCACATAACATAATAAAATTACCGCAATAACCACAATAACTGCGATATTTCCAGTTTCTGATAACTGTTGGAACTCGACTAAAACCTTGTCGAAGTCAATGGGATTCGGTTCAACTAAGAGACTTCCCCCAAATGACGTCAAGTGGCTACAGCTACAGTTTAAAGATCCATCTAATTCTGCTAAAACCTGAAATTATAAATGCAAGGAAGATCTTAATGATGAAAATTATCATTTTGGCTGTCACCATAAATCACACTGCATCTTTTCTGTTTTAAGGCGCTTCTATAACCTGGCTGGCTATCAAATCGATTCCAAATTTGTCTGAAAATGTTCTGTAATCAAATATTAGCCTGAATTCAATGATAAGCTTCATGAGAGAAGATTATTGCAATACCACAGCACTTTTACAAACATTACTCAGGAAAGCTCAAATTCTCTGAATTGTGTTGAATACGGTGCCAAATTAGATTAAAAAAAAAGATTACGCGGAAAATCTTTATTTAATTTTCACTTACTGGGCAACCAGATGATATCCACATGTCACTTGTTTCTGACCAGTAAACACAGCTACCCAAGGTAACCTTCAGAGTGTAGTTCTGGTCTGTTGTGGAATCATAAACAGGCATCACAGGGACATTTTCACTCTGGGGTGGGTGGGGTGGGTTGTGGATCTTTGACTTCGACGCAGGAGCGCTTCCTTCGCCTTCTACCAATACAAGATCTTTTCTCCCTTGTGTGAGATAAGTTCACTGTGGCATTATAATTTTTTAAGCCGAGTAAGTATTTGCCAGGCCGCGCAGCCAGAACTTGTATCGGCGCATGTGGATTCAAGGAGCAGACCGTTTGTCCGTTACTTTTGCCATGTGTGCTTATCATCCAAACACATTTTTCGTCATGAGAGATAGTAGCATTGAAGTCGTAGTTTTGAGTTGTCGGTCGCTGACCAAAACGCATATAGACAAACAGATGTACGGTTGGATCTTGAGGTTTGATTTCCAACATCAGCAGGGTGTTTTCATACTTGACGTTTATCTCGTGGAAACGTAGATCATCGTTCTTTGTGAAATAACATGACTTTTCTGAAGCAGAGATTTTCTGAAGTTTTAAAGGCGTGACGATAACAATGTCTTCCGTGAGATTTGATACTTTAATAGGCTCGCTGTCATTATTTTTCAAGTGCAGGCTTACAACATCAGAGCTAACTCGTTCCTTGGTGCCGTCCTAAGTGTAAGCGTTGAAAGAAAATGAGAGCATCTGAAAGAGAAATAATTAAGTATTTTGCTTGTTTGTTTTTGTGTACTGCTATAGTCGAACTCGTAAACAGGGTACTCCGTCTTACTATTAATCTTAAGTTATCATAAGTTGGATTCAAAATAAAACTGGAAATATATTTGGAAAACAACAAAAAAATAAATAACATTGATGTGGTCACTTCGATCACATGATTCGATTCTCTTTTGCTGCCCAAGTGCCAGAGTTGAACACGTCAAAAGCAAAGCAAGAAATATGACTGCTAGAGGTAATAAGCAACCTTTAAGGTGTCTAACGTGCGATTTTAACTTGATTGATGTCGGTATCTGCTAAAAATAAACTTGGATTGAAATTGGCTTGAAGGGCAGAAATACTTACCTGAACATCTACAAAACTTGTTTTATTTACTCCAGAGAGTAACAACTGGCTCTTAGACGGTAAGATAAACCGGCCTTTTCCCGCTTTTACTTCCAGTCCTGAAAGTCTTTGGAGGGTATATCTTCCGAGTGTCATGGATAGCTGTCCTGCAGTGAATGGTATAGTTTTTTCATCAGGTATTGTCAAGACCAACAGTGAGTCTGCAACTTTCTGGTGGGCCTTCATTGAAATCTTCACTAATAGTTTACCCTGTAGAAATTGCATAAATAAGCAAATAATATAAACAAATTATGGATTTTCGAAAGCTTAAAACAACCATAAATAGAAACAAACCATAAAAGGTTCAAAATATGAATGAATAAGGGAGTATCGGTTAAGTTTAAAGCAATCTGCGATGGACCATTTGCTAATGAATAAAGTCTAATGATTATGCTTGTATGTATAATTACGTTTTAAAAGGTCTATTTAACTCGTACACTTTTGGACATCACCTAAATGTAAATTAAAGTACCTGTTGCTGAAAACTTGACTTGGAGTCTACTGATGCAGTCACTGCTGCTGCCTTCAACACGGTATTAAGACATGAAGCCAAGTTTTCTGCTGATTGCTTTGTCAGCGATATGTCTGCTACGTCTCGTTTCTGGGCGATAGACCATAGGAGTGAAGTCATTGAACTGATAGCAGATAAGGAGAAATTCTGTGGAGTGCAAATAAATATAAATGAAGCTAAAAATGCTTACTTTCAGATTTCTTTCCATTACCTTTGTAGAGCTAATTTGTGGCGAATTATTTAAAGTGATTACAAAATTATAGACTGCTTCATTTGATAACACAACAGTTGTTTGTTTTTCATTCTTGTTTGTTTCCGTTTCCTTCGTCTTTGTTTGCTGTTGTGGTTTTTTCTGTTGTTTCTGTAGCCTTTCTGGCTAAATAGTGTCATGGTATTAAAACTTGACGTAACAACCAAGGCTATTCCAGCCCCAACCAGTACTACGTAATTCACTTACCAGAGACTGGTGGGGCACTTCCTCCAGAACCGGAAGAGCAGAACCGATAACCGAAGATTTTTGAAGGATGTCGAAGACAGTTTTCGCTTCCAAGGGCGAAATGTTTTCAAGGATGTAGTTCATAACCTTGAACAACGATAAAGCTTTATGTTATTTAAGCCGGTAGAGAAATAGGCAAACAGACTGTATCCCTCATATTAGGCTCGTTCCAAAGATGATACATCTAAAGGCATATTAAGACTCAACGTATCAGGTTTCTCAATTAAATTGTTAGTTAAAACCCATCAAAACGATACATTTGCAAGCGCATGATTGATCTAAATGCATCAAAACACCGAAAACGTTCAAGCTGAAATAAAGGAATGCCGGGTGATTTCCGCCCATGAAGTAAATTTTCAAACCTCATTTTCAAGACGTGGTAAGTATTCGTTTAAAATTTAATTCAAGACTCTTCAGCGTTCTTCACTCGTCACAACGGTAGACGAAATTGTTTGTTCACACAATCAACCCGCGAGAATAATGGGAAGTCAACATCTAACGTAGAAGCCACGACTCTTGGGAAGCAGTAATATCGGGTATTTAACACACAACCCTACATTTTTTTCTAAAAAGTATGTTCGTATGTTTAATGCATTATATTCGACTGTTTTTCGAAAGTCAATTTTTTTAATGATAGTATATTTTTTTCAAATACAAATTCTTAATCCTTTTTTTTTTTTCTTTGGCATGTTTGGCTCTTAGTAAACTCTTTGCTTTTCGGATACGATCATAATGAACTAGTATTGTTTCACTTTTTAAGTAACAAGTTATGTTTGAAGAGTACCTTGTATCTCTCCTGGAAATTCATTGAGGTTTCTTGTGAAACTGAGAGCAGGACAGAGTTTGCTAAAAGCGCCGCTTTTCTCAGGTTTCCGATCGCGATGAACTTCTGAAATAAACTGTCGTTTGCCAGTAGAAGGTTTGTGATAAAATCAGTGCTTACATTCTGATATGGACTGATCTGCAAAAGCCAAAAGAAGGTATCTATTACTATAACTACTCTATTACTGATAGGGACCAAAACAAATCAACATTTTCACATCCTTTCATGCTAGACGCTAAATCAATGGCTAGTGATTTACCTGAACTGCCAAAGAGACTGGGGAGGCAGAAATTCCAAAATTGTCAGTCACTGTAGCGATAACTTTGACAGTAAAATTATCTGTACTGTTCCCAGGCGGTATCGAAGAGGTACTTATGTTTTTGTTAACGCCACGATATAATACACTGTACAGACCATTCTCTAGCCTAATAATAAAGGGTTTATTAAAAGTATTCAAAAATAGCACCCCAGTGGTGAAATACATTATACTTTAAATATTTAAAAAATACGACAATCTTACATTTGACTTTAAAATTAAAAGTCTAAGGGGACTGGGAATTACAAGAGTCAGTAGTTATATACCAATAAAAAACGCTTAGGTTTGCTTGACTACAAGAACTGGGCGTTAGACGCCATTGTTGGAAAGAAAGATTTTTTAAATCTTTCGGTCCGGCATTTAAAGAGTGATACATGGTTTTTGTTGCGCAACTCATAAACGTGGCAATCGGCGCGCTTTGGTGGAATAAGGTGGTACAGCCGTGACCCAGGCACACAGATACCGTCCCAAACTTTCTTGCAGAGTTCGTCTCTTCTCACATTTAAGCGAGTGGAGTTTGCAGCCACAATGGCGTCTTTGTAGCTCAACGCCGGAAATAATATACGCAGAGCTCTTTTCTGAACTCTTTCGATCATGTCCTTGAGGTAAATTGGTAGGCTAGTAGACCAAGTGACGCAGGCGTATTCGAGGACCGATCGTACCAAGGCATAAAATATGTTAATAAGGTCTTCGGGTGGAATTCCGGACCGCTTGAGCACTCTTAAGATGTAAAGACGTTTTGAGGCTTTGGAGACAATCTCACGCACGTGCTCATTCCACCCAAGAGTGTCGCTGATAGTGACTCCAAGGACCTTGTGTGAGGAGACCCGTTCTAAGGGACGTCCATTGACGCACAAAGGGCCAAGATCTGGCCGTGTTCTAAGCGAACAAATCACAAGTTCCTTGCACTTCTTTGGGTTGAGGTTCATATTATTGCGCGACGACCACTGTGCAATGGCGTCAAGATCTTTCTGAAGGGACGATGTACCGCCTGATGGGATGACCTCGGATATTGTTAGGTCATCTACATATTTCCAGTGGCTCGATAGTAATGGAGTTTCAATCGCGAGATCGTTAATCATCAGGAGGAACAGGATGGGGCCAAGCTTAGTGCCCTGCGGGACTCCAGCGTGCACGGGCAACCAAGGGGATACAATGTTCTTAATCTTAACAGCTTGGCGACGGCCATAAAAAAAACTGCAAATCCAACGGATAATAAAACCACGGACCCCAAGGTGGATGAGTTTATTGACTAAGATAGTGTGGTCAATATGGTCAAAAGCCTTACTAAAATCCAGGAAGCAGGCCCTTAAGAACATACCTGGTTTGTCAATAGAGGACAACCAGTTGTGCATCATATCCAACAGGCAATAGATGGTTGAAGTTCCTTTGAGGCAGCCGAATTGGCTGAAATCGATGAGGTGCACAACATCCTCAATTAGCCATTCAACTACGAAATCCTCCAGGACTTTAGAGACGATTGCAGTTAGGGAGATAGGTCTTAAATCTTCCCTACCGGTTATGGGCGTAACCTTGGGTACCGGTGTGACATTAGAGTCTTTCCATGCAGTAGGGAAGGAGCCTGATGCAATAGAGGTGTTGAATATTCGCGTGATCGGCTCAGCGAGCTCAGCAGCATATTCTTTCCAAATACGAGTCGGAATCCCATCAGGCCCAGGGGCCTTAAAGGCGCTGATGGCAAGTAGCTTTTTGTAGACCTTTTGTGTCTCGATTACGGGCGGTTGAGGGGATGGTAAGTAGCAGGGCAGTGCACTTGTATCAAGTGGCTTAATGTCAGATATTACAGATACAAAAAACTCATTAAGGCGTGTTGCGAGAGTCGCGCCAGAGATAATTCTGCCTTCCTCGTCAGTATAACTGAGTTCGTTAGGGCTGCTAGCCTTCCCTGCAAGCTTATTCACCATACTCCACCATTTCCTCGGGTCAGTGCTCTTGAGGTTATTAACTTTGTTTTTATAGAACTCGCATTTCCGGCAGGTGATAACCTCTCTGACCTTATTTCTAAGGCGACGCCATTTCTCCTCCGGGCCATTTAGATAGGCGCGTTGGCGCTCTAATATGAGAGCTTTAATCTCAGGTGACATCCAAGGCTTGTCCATTGGATGAATCTTCACGTATTTGGACGGAAAGTAGATATCGCTGGCTGATGAAAGATCCTTAGTAAATGAGTCAGTGAGAGAGTCAACTGATGGTGAGTCACCGTCTACTTCTAAATCACTGAACCAACGGTGTGAACACGCCCACCTCCCAAAAGCGTTTATTGCCGACTGAGGAAAGCGACGCATCGGGATCCTTTTCTTTTCAACGCACAGCGGGTTTAGTTGGTTCATTGAAAGCGGATTCCAGTGAACAGAGCTATGGTCCGAAGACCCTAATTGTGCGCTGACAATTGGTTCGCTATAGTATTCACTAAAATCCGTGAAATTGCGGTAGAAAAATCGTAAGCACTCACTCCCCATAAACCGTCCGTAATTGTTATGAATAGTGCCAAGCGGTACATATTTCCACCTGTAAGGGAACCTCCTTTGATAACAATGTCACTTGAATTCAGCGGTGTACTTGTGACGAGTCGTAAATTATGTTTCCTTTGCCAGATAAAGGAGGTGTTTCGCTTGAAATGCTGGTAGAGCCTCCACTTATAGGATGATATTTTAGAGCACTGTAATCCGCGACATTGTGATTTGATACTAAGTTTGACCAAGGGACTCACTTTAGGTTGACAGTTAAAAAAACATCTAAAATGAAGCAGAAATATTGGAAGAACACTCGGTGAAAAAGGTGTTTTGAACTTGCTTTGTCTGATGAGATCATGTAATTAAGAAGAACAGCTGCAGCAGTGACCGCAATTTAATTAACATTGATATGAACAACTGCTAATAAAGTAGCTAAAACAACAGTAGTAACCAAAACGACAGTGAAAACAACAACATTATCATTAATAGCAACAAGAAAGTGTAAAAAATGACGGTAGTAGAAACAACGAAAATTAACAAAACCAGTAGCAAAACAGGTATAATTGGACGACAGAAGTGTCAGTAGCGAAAATAAAGAGCAATAGCAAGGTCAAGAACAAGTAAAGGTATCAAAAACGGCAACAAAACCAACCGTAAAAACAAACCAAAAACCTAAATAACGACAGAAACAAACAAAGTAGATCCCTAACCTTTGATATATTTCTGGGGGGTCTCCTTCTATCAAATGGATAACCTGATAAACGGTGGAAATACGACTGTCCTTGGTCACTACCAATTTAACTATGTGGAATTGATGAAGAGACAAAGTTTCGGTGTTTAAGGAAACTAGTTCGCCAGATGCACTTCCGTGATAATGAATGGCTGACTCGTTTACTGCCATGAAGAAATCTTTCTCCGCCTTCGCTTCCCCTTGTTTACTGGAATGATTTCTTGTGACTTTGCCATAATGCCAGGTGAAATTCATTCCTGATCGGTTGCCATGTGCAACTTCCGGGTCATATGACAATGAGGCATTTAATGTGATGTTTTTGTGGAGTCCTCTTGTTACTTCTGCGCCGCCAGAAATGACCGCCACAAGGTCAAGTTTTCTTTTGCCAGACGTCACATCTATATCATGATAGAAAAAAATAACTTAGCAAATATGCTACTTTCTCTGTTAATATCGGTTCGACCTTGTTTATAATTGTTTTGTTACATTGTTGCCACTGAAGAGCTTTTAACAAATGCTTTTCACCAAATCCTCAATACTTGAAAAGTATGTAGGCTGTAGGAGCCTATTTGAGCTGTTTTATCATTACATCTCATTCCTGACGTTTATGATGTCAGTAACGGTTGAAATCATATTTTATTGAGCGCCACTGTCAACTTTGGTCTTGGAAATTGAGCCAAAATTGAAAGAAACGACAGCAAACGTGTTCGTCGATGGATCGATGGGAGTAATGGTCAGCGAAACAACACGTCATAGTAGTATCGGCTTCTTTTACATCTCCTTCTTGATGTCACCAGGTAAGACTGTTTATTCCACTGATTTTTCGCTAACGTGTCAAAGTCCCGTGATAAGTATGTAAAATTCAAGAGAAAAGTCACTTTCAACTCGTTTTTAAACCCGTTATTTTTTTAAATTTTACTCTTTCAACTACTCGCGTTTCATTATGGTCGGCCTATAGCTGGAAATACTTCTGTTGTAATTGCGTACGTCAGTATTTTTAAACCAACTGTGCATGATCCTGGCAACTCTAGCCACTGAAATACGAAATTAATTCGACTTACGGTGGGTGTATTCGTCAACTACCGTAGAAGAATCCAGTCGGATTTGTTGTATTGGACATATATGGGTTATTACTAAAGAGGTTGAAAAGTCTTAGATGGCAGCCTATCAGTTAGGGTTGTGGTAACATGTTTACGTGAAGCACAAGAATAAAAATTTTACTGAGTGATCAGAAAAAGTATTCATTTGACCATTCATTAAGACTTTCACTGGTTCATTACGAAAAAAAATTAACATAACAGGTTTTGAAAAGACTTGGGTAATTGCTAAAAATTTGGGCCAACTCAGTGCACTAACTCAGATTATACATGCACGTTTTGTCTTCCAGGTCAGTAGATTTAGGGGATATTTTAATTAGGAAAGTGACTTTTTTAAGCCTGGAAACTATTATTGTGAAAAGCCATGATAGACTACTAGGTAATTAATTCTTGTAAACTAGTTTCAGGAAGGATAAAATACTTTATGACATGTATAGATTACTGGGATGCATAGGCTGTGCACAAAGGTGGTTTGACTACAAGTTCCAATCCCTTCACCTGATAGACCATCAGCAGGGTTTGGGAAAATTTATATGCGGCTCAATTTCTTGCAATTACTAATACAAACAATCTTTACATAGATCTGTGATAACTAATACTAGGAGATCCAAGTATATTGAAAGAATATAAAATTTGTTTGAAAAACTAGAATTCAGCTTGGGCTGGAAAAACAAGATTTAAAAAAAAAAGACGTAAACTCATACTTTAATGAGAAATCTAAGCAAAAGGTTCTCCGTATTTAACCCTTTAACTCCTACAGCTGAAGAAGTGATTAACATGTAACTTCTCGCTGTAATATCCATACACTACCCGACAGGCAGGTAATGAGAATACTTAAACTTATCATATAGATGTTGTCATCTTGATCTAACACCAAATCCTCATAACTAACTTACAAAGAAATGTGTAGCAGCTAGAGGGGAAAATTGACGATTAGATCTTGGGAGTTGAAAGGTTAGCAGCTTTTTACAACACCTACATGTACCTGTACACATGCATGTAGGGCTTTAATGTTGACAAAACTATTACTCATGCAGATTCCCTATAAACCTGTAGTTTAAGCCTCATGAAACTTTGAAACTTTGATGCACACTTCAAAAGGAGAATGAAAAATAAATTTCACATTTCGATTTAATGTCCAGTTTAGGTTATTTTAAGGTAAAATTGAGTCAAATGTTCTTGGGACAACATGATCAAGACTTATGTATAAAGAACTGTAATTTATAAGTGTTAGCCGCCTTGGAACGATAACTTTCACATATGGGTTACACATTAATCCTTAAACCACTAAGAGTGACTCGCCTCTAATTTCTCCCTGCAATATCACTCCTGAGTCACATATTAAGGTCAGGAGGACATAGGAAATGATCACCAACTAATTATATAAAAGAAGCTTTTGGTTATTAAACAAGTTCTTGTCAGCAACTTAGGAAACATTAGAGAACAGTATGGAGGATATGAATGCAGATGTTAGGGTGTCAAGGTTTAATCTAGGGTTATACCCATAATGGCAACATCACCTTAATTTGCAAGAAAATAACAATGAGAATTGGTAGTGAATTACAGCCAGGGGTCCTCCATTAAATTCTATTCTTCAGAGAGTGCTTTAAAAATAGCAATTTGCTCATGCACAAAAGAACTTCATGATATCCGCTGACAGTTTCCCAACTGGTTGTATTGCAAGTTGTGAGAAGATAGCTCCGATTTAATTTCATGAGAATTTAAGAGAAATAGCTTTCCCTAGACCAGTCATTAATTTTTTTTTTCTGAGAGAGAGAGAGAGAGAGAGAGAGAGAGAGAGAGAGAGAGAGAGAGAGAGAGAGAGAGAGAGAGAGAGAGGAGAGGGGGGGGGGGGTATTGAGTCAATGGTGTGAGGACAAGCTTACAAACAAATAAGGAGGTTATCATCTTTTCCTAGGTTCAGTGGTCAATTAGAGTGAATGAGATTGTTATTTGTGCATGCATATCCAGGGAACGATAGAAAGTGGGATATGGTTGGCACAACTCTCTTACTTCTTGTCTTGAACTTATCAAGCTAGGGCACTGATATTCTTGCCTTCTGCGCAATGTGAATGTCAATTAATTCAATTTCCGTGTGTTAAAATATGAAAAATGTTACTCATCCCTTTCACACCCTGACATCACTGTGTATATTCTCAATAGTGTCCTGGACATTTCCCGATTTTCTGAATAGGAGAATTTGTTGAGCAATCACAAGTTTCTTCAGTTGTTGGTCATTTTCCTTATTCTATTGACCTCAATGTTTGCTTCAGGGGTGATATTGTTGGGAGAAATAGGATGCTAGTCACTCTCAGGGGTGAGAGAGATAACCTATGTACCCCTAAATATGAATAGAAAGGAGGCAGGTCAAAGTAAAAACATGACTGAAAAGAGGAGGGTGCCCATTAATTTCAGTCCTAATGAACACTTTAACTTACATATCAAATTTATCATTTTCCTTACTGTCAACCATACAATTCTGAAGATGTTAGTTCACAGAATTTAGTATTGGATGAACTAATTAATTCCAAATTGATATTTTTCTTTATTCTCTGTCTTGGTCACTCATGAGGGTTAAAGGGTTAAAGACAGACCCTTGGTTTTCCAGATTCCCTTCTTTTCAAACTCACTTATCTTGCGACCAATTGCTTATATCAAAGTTTCCTTTGTGGAATGGGTATCAGTATTTGTAAGAACACCATGTACTATTGAAATCTGGAGCCTGAGAATTTATTGCCATCCAAATTACATGTTACAATGTGGGAAATACTGCAAAATTAAATAATCGCACAATTCTTTACAAAGGTTACAGACTTAACTATGACAACTTTTTAAGAAATACAGTATGAATGGCAAACAAGTAGTTATGATTATGATTGATATAAAATTAAAAGTTTGAAAGCTAAAAATATACATTACAATTATCAAACCTTATGAATTTTACTACTCTTTACAAAAACAGGGTAAATAGCTCCAGAGCTTCTCCTATACATTCATGTTTACAGGAAAGCATTATATTTTGTCTTGGGGGTGGAAGGAGGGGTGCCACTTTACATAAAATTACATTTTTCAGTTCTCACTTTACAGGTCATATAAAAGGAACATTCAAGTATAGAAACGGACGTTTCAATTTCCTGTGTCAAAAGACCATTATCATTAAAATTCCAAGCCGAAATGTATTTACCAGTTAAGCGCTCAAGTTTCCCCAAAAGTCACCTTTGTTACAATAGATTTCACTCCTTTTCAGGGCCATCCTCCGCTGCACTATCCTGTTGCATGTGAAAACATAAAATGTTACTCTTATGATCAAATGAGGCAGTAAAATTTCAGAAGTAATATTTTACGAGCTGACCGTCTGAGAAGAAGTCCCCTCTGGTAATTTTTTATATAGCAGGCAAACCCTAAATAACTGATTGGAGTTTATTTGATCGAAAATATGAAAGGCAATGGAGTAAATTAGCTGGCACAATTCAAGTTTCCCCTCTGCATTCTGTGATCTTTTTTTCTTTCAAATGAGAAAGTTAAACTTTTTAATCTCCCTAATTTGTAGTCGAAAACTTAAAAACCTGTAAGTTATTTACGGATATTGGCGGCCGTAAAATTGCAAGATGTGAGCAAGATTGCAATACGTTCAGCCTTTCTTGACGAACCATTGAGTGTGTTACATCTACATTAATTTCAGATAGCTGCCCTTCTTCAACGTTTGGCAAAGAACTCTTGACCTACTGGTTTGAAGGTGTTCGAATATGCTAAGAAAAACAGATGCCTGCTGCTACTTTACAGAATGTGTTATTGTAGAAAATTTCACCATGGGAACTAAATGAGAATTTAAAACGAGAAAAGGTATAAAAACCAGTCTTCCGTCGTTAGCAATGCAAGTTTAGCTTACTGTATTGATTTCTCTGATCGCACACGGTACTACACGTTTTCTGCAAAGAACGTCATCTTGTACCCTATCCCAGAATCCTCCTGTATGTGCATGCAAGCTAACACAACATCTCCCCCTTTTTCGTTAAAGAGCACAAAGTCTGAGAAGTCATAGACACAGTCTAAATCAGATCTCTTAACACAGTGTCTTAAAATGCTAAACCTAGATTTTCTCCGATTTTTAGCAATGGTCTTATAACTCGCTTAGGCCTAGTAGCAAGAATACGTGTTACGGGGGGTACTCGAAAGTCTCTTAGAAACAGGAACGTCCTTCGGAATAGGTGTTGCAGCCTTGCTCTCTGCTGGAACTTGTTTCTCCTCCGGGTTTAGTTGTTCATTTTCCAGCTGATCTGGCAGTGAGGTTAGGTGAACACGGTTTCTTCTGATCGTGCTGGCTGGTGTCTCAACCTTATATGACCGGGGTGTTACTGCTGCTTCGATGACTTTTCCTGAATGCTGAAGGTCCTTCGCAAAGACTTTCGTACCTGGTCCAATCGGAGGTAAACGCTTTCCCTTGTGCCTGCTGTTGAACACTGTTTGCTGCTTCAGCTTGCTCATGCTCTCTTTTTCACGTAGGTTTTCCAGATCAGGCCACTGCGGGTGAAGCTGGGTATGGAACACCGGAACACTGTACCTTATCTGCCTTCCCATCAGTAACTGGGCAGGAGAGAACTTGAATGCTAATGGCGTTGATCTGTAGGCCAGTAATCCTTTAGCTGGGTCTCTTTCTTTCGAAAGCAGATTCTTCACGGTTCTAAATCCACTTTCATCCTCTCCATTTGATTGGAGAAATCTCGGAATATGGGTGAAATATATAGTAGGAGAAGTCTGCACCGTCAAATTGAGGACCATTGTCTGATCGCACTTGTTCGGGGATGCCATGTCCGTCAAATATCATAAGTGCTCTTATGACCTCACTTGACTTTGTCGTCTTCTTCATGGCTGCTACTTCTATGTACCTTGAGAAGTATTCTATTACAATCAGGTAGTCGATGCCTTTCAGCTCGAAGAGGTCCGTGGCTACGACTTGCCAGGGGCGGTCTGGTAGGGGTGTTGCTATAAGCAGTTTGGGTTTGTTTTCCTTATGCAAGGTACAAACCCTACATTGTTGAACGAGATCCTGGATTTCTCTACTAAGTCCTGGCCGGGCTTTTGGCCCACTCATGGCATTTGGTGATTCCCTGATATCCCTCATGGATCTTATCCAAGTTCTCAAGTCGTATGGAGGATGGGATAAGGATCCTGGATGCTTTGAGTAGAGTGTCCCGCACGAAAGACAATTGACCTCTGCTCCACCAATAAGGCATTAGCTGCTATCTTGGTCTCCTTGTTAGGATCATGTGTCAGTACTGGAGCTCGTTTAGAGTCAGCTTTGATCTGCTCAAATGCTTTCTGTTGCTCAGTTCCCCATATCCACTGATTCCCTCGACAAAGGAGTTCCCTGATGCTCTTTGCCTTGTCAGCAAGATGCTCAGAAAACTTGCTTAATTGGTTTACCATGCCCAGAAATGTTCTCACTTCTTGCAAGTTCTGGGGTGGCGGGAGATCTGGGATTGCTTGCAGCTTGTCAGGATCCGCCTCAATTCCACGGGAGCTAATGACGTGCACAAGGAACTTGCACTTGTCAAGGTTGAGTGTAAGGCCGGCTTCGACCAGAGGCCTAAGTACGGCTTCTAGTCTGTCGTCATGTTTTTCTTGATTTTTTTCCGTGAACTAAAACGTCATCTATGTGGCACTATACACCTTTCAATGCCTGGAGAATCTGATTCATTTAACTCTGGAAATTCTCATAACCAGATCTGCTACCAAAGGGTAGAACATTGAAGGAGAATTGGCCCCATGGAGGGATGAATGTGGTCAGTGGTCTCGATTCCCATGCAAGCTTTATCTGCCAAAATCCTGGGTTTGCATCGAGTTTTGAGAAGACTTTGGAAGCTGCCAATCTTTCCAGAGCCGTGTCTACTGTTGGAAGTGGGATGTTCTCTCTTTTGACGTACTCGTTTAGCTTGTTTGGGGCAACCAGCCTTTCGCATTCGTTCGAAACGTCTAATCCAGCGGAGCCACTCGTCGGGTTTAAAACTGAATTTTTCCAGTGGTAGAAATTGATAACTCGCCACAGCGATCTGTTGGACTGTACACTGTGCAGACATGTCGGCTTGTTGTTGTGCAGGCTGTCTGGGTGAACGTCATCTTCGTTCGCCTCGTCAACTACAGGATGCGGTACAGCTTGATTTCCAGCTTCACCAGGGGCAGAGCCTCCCATATTTCCGTTTTTTTCTGATTTCTTCAGTTTAAATCTTATTGGAAAGATCCCACCGCTGCCACCCTGTTGTGTTGTTCGTGTTCTGCAAAGAACGCCACCTTTAATTCTATCCCAGAATCCTCTTGCACGTACATTATTCGTGTAAGCTAACACAACACTTACTGCTAAAATTTGCCTGGAATTCTGGATTTAAAAATGAGGTGTCTAGTTAAAGAATGACGTGATGTAAATGACGATGTTGCAATTTTAGAAAAATTTAGCTTGATTTTTCTGTACGGTAAGAAAAGCCCCGAACTAATTTTCATATCCTCGAAAACCATTCTATTTCCACTTATCACGAGCTTAATCTGAGCCGATAGCGAGGTATACAGCGTTGGGAAAACATTAATTGGAAAATTGCTGGGAAGTGCGATATTTGTATTTTTAAATATTTGTAGTAATATCCGAAAGCGTTCTGCGAGCTCTAAAATAAATAAAATGGTCCTGTTTTAAACTTAAATCATTCGTCAATCCTTCAAATAAAAAATTATCAAATTGATATGAGCTTGCTTTCTTTTTCCCTTTTCACGAGCAAAGCTCATTTGCCTCTACTCGGGGTACTGCTCTCCGCCAGTGTACGACTGCCGATGCTCGTTTCAGTTTTGGCAAATTTTCTAGAATAAAGAAGCAAATCTGGGAGGAAAACTTTAACACGTTTCTAAGTTCACTATACAGAATCACTGACTTAACTATGAGGGTAGTAATTTTTTGGTCGATGTGCCATCCCTCACGCGGTCTTGAAAAAAAAATCGCTCTACACTAATGATGCTAAGAAGTGTGAGGGGCAAATCAAATGTGTACAGTTATGAAAGACATTATGTAATCAGTTTTAAATATCAATTAATTATAAACTGAAGCTAGTATCAAAGGACGATTGATAAGAGAAGTGTTGAATTTTTCTGGGACTCAGCGTAGGAAAAAACTTAGATAAAAATCAACTTACTTCCTGGCCCTCCTTTGTCGGCTTCTCTGTAATTCGCTTTTCTTTGTTGTTGACCTCTTTTCAGTCTTTTTTTTTTCTAGAGCTCTTTGTCTTTCCTTCTCACGTCGATCTTCGTTAGATATTCGACGTTTAACATCAGTCTTTTCATGTCGTCTTTAGCGCTCCTCTTGCAGTGTAATTACCGAGAATCAATGAATCTTTCAACTACGAACCAATTAGTATGACTTGCAGTTCAAACGCCAATTTCCTTTGTTTGCGCTGCTTCAACTGTGCTAGCCCTCGTGAAGCCCTCGGGTATACAGTAACCGGGTGCCTGCCGTACGCTGCACGAACTTTGGTAAATGCGTACTTCATCACTTTGGATCTGAGCTTCTTAGCACACTCGATTGGGGTCTCCAAGTTAGGCACACAACCGCGTATGTGCATTACCTCCTCCATTTGTCTTTTACTTACGTAATAGTTAGATGCAGTTGTCCGCGCATGGTTTAAGTAGCACCTTGCACGGTAGGTCATACGGTATTTTCTTTCCAAATTTTCTTGGGTTGATGGGTTACTTCTAGCTTTCATAAGTATGGGCCATGCTGCCCCCCCTTGCGAGCTATACCATGACAGTTAGGTGCTAAACCTGAGTACATAGGATATAGTGTATAGTATATAGTATCATACCTGGCTGCGACGGCGACGGCGACGGCGACGGCGACGGCGATGGCGATGCTTAAGATGGATGAGAATGTTAATCTTGGATTAGAACGATATGTCAACCTAGCTCTTTTTTACTGTAACTTCTAGCTTTCAAAAGTATGGGTTATGCTGCACACGCTGTGCGCTAGGCCATAACAGTTAGGTGCTACACCTGAATACATAGGATATAGTGTAAAGTGTATAGTATCATACCTTGCTGCGACGGCGATGGCGTCAGCGACGGTAACGGCGATGGCAACGGCGATGGCGATGGCGATGGCGATGGCGACATCATAACATTCAGATAACCTGTACCAATATCACAGCGTTTAGGTATTGTTTTCTCGTAAATGATATTATGGCATCAGGGGGCCGTGCACAAAGAATAACATTAACCAGAAATTTTGGACTCATCTGGTAAGAGTAGTGGTTTGTGGCTTTTGCAAGAGCCTCGTCGATTAGAGTCCAGAGCTATCGGGATATGAAAGGGTCGCATTTAACTTGTTGTATCATTTCAAGATTAAAAATGTCTTTTCCGCTCTTTTTCTCACAACGCACACGCTTAACAACTTACCTCCTATCTTAATTCACGACTCATACACAAGGAGGGGGTGTGCAGATCGAACTAGGAGCGTGGGTGCTTCATGCCGTTCGACAAAGATACAGAGTACGATAGACAACTAGTTACAACTGAATTACTTCTCGCGCAAAAAAATATTTTGTGTGCCGATGCGTGACAAGAAACCAAGAAGACCCACTGGAAAAAATAGGAACGTATTCCCTATCCTAATGCTGGGCACCAACCTATGTGAAAAAATTAACTTAAAGCTCGAAAAGTTCGAAAAATGAGATGTATACATTACAAATGTCAAACCTTCTTTTCGAACTACAGCAATATATCATATATATTAAAATAAAGTAGAATAAACACAGAACTGATTCGGCTATGCGAAGAAAAAATAAGTTTGCAAGTCTTTTGTATTCGTTTTATAAAACGATAATTGGCATGTATCTCAACAGAAATGAGTCCCTGGCATGGCTCTTAGCAAAAGATAACGCACTTCACGTCATCACACGTTGTTATCTAAAAAAGCAATTGGACTGATATTTCTTCGCAATTGGTTTTCACCATCATTTTGTTCAATCGAAACAATAAATTAACTACATGAAAATAACTGATAACTGAAAGTTTACTGTTATTACTGGTAACAGAACCATCTGTAATTTTCCTCTGCTCACAAAGCTAAAAGTTAGACATATGTATCGTGAAAACGTTAATTGATATCGTTTCAAACATATTTTCATTCATTCAAATGTTACTGTAAACTTGATTCTGACTGTCAGAGAGTTCATGTAAATCCTTTCATAAGTTCCACAAACGATATCAAATAATGCTTTTATGATGCCTAAGCGCTTCTATTGCCGTTAGTTTCCTCAAAATAATATTAAAGAAAGCAAACGAACAGAAAAAACAAAACAAAACAACAACAAAAATAACAACTTACCCTCGGAAATCTCACAAATATAAGCGTGGTATTCTCCTGGAAGTATGCTATCAACACCACCAAACACGCCCTGCTCCCCATTACTGGACCGCTTGTACATGAGAGCCGCGTCGTGTTCACCTCTTGGCTCCCCTTGTTCCCATTTGCAAATAGTCAGCGGTCTTCCATTCACCCAAGTCCAATTCCCGGCCTTTTTTGTTCAACCAATACTCCACTTATTTTCATAGCGCGTAGTATTTCGCCTTTGAATCTGGTCATTGATGAAATTCCATTCGTCTTCGGTTTCAATGGAAACTAGGTCCCATCCTTGGTTTTGGCAGGCTTCTCTGGCCCAGCGCCAGTCAAGGAACCACCGTTTGTGCACCGAAATTATGTACCAAGAGTTTTTAAAAGTTATATTTAGGCATTCTACAAAATGATAAAAATAAAAGCAAAAAATACTAATTATCATAATGATAATCAAAGTAATAAATAATAATAATGATGATGACATAAAAAGATTAAAATCGCAATCACAATATTTTTCATATAATTTTTAACACCACCAGTTTATGTTTGATCATTGTCAATTAATACTATACATCTTTCTTCCTTACGGCGTCCGCCATCTCTAACCTGCTTTTCTGAATTAGTTAACTTCACATCAGCTAAGATTATCTGTGAGTTCATGTAATTTTGGTAGTCGAGTTTTTAGAAGTTAATTATTTCCTTGTTGAGCTGACACCACCCTCACCCCGCCCCCTATTCTTCCTCCCCCATCTGAACAGACTTAAAAACGTAAAATTAATGTAAGTTCTTGTAAATGTGCAACTGGAGATACGCAGTTCACCGCATACAGTTGTTATGGGAAAGGTTGTGGAAAAAACAAAAACAACAATTTAAAGTACATGCGACAAAATCAAAAGATTATCTAGGTGGCGGTAATCAACATTGACATGTAAAGTAAGTAAAGATAAATTAATTAGGGTTTGCTTGTACTTTTTTTTCCGTTTTTCATGCAGTTTGGAATTTAAAGTCAGTCGTATTAAAAACAGGTTCAAACCCGTGATGACTCGTCCTTGAAATGACATTTGCTCAGATTTCCCTGAAATCATGAGGTCGTCTGACCATGACCTGAAAGCCACCCACAATACCTGTCAAGGTTATCGCTTGCACTTCTGACACGCTTTTTCCCGAAAACTTCTCCCAAAAGAGCTGTATTTATTATTTGTTTTTCTAAGAGGGCACGGTAACGAGTCCTGCAATCTTTGTGGTTCTTAATGCGGTCTGGATTTTCTTATCTCTGCTCAGCGGCACGGCAACGCTTGCTCGAGTCGCTAGCTACAACCTTAGCTACGTTGCCTTTTTTCATAAATATATTTCGCTTTGCCAGCTGAGAAGTATTTTTACGTTAATCACTTTGAATCAAATCAAGCTGATTAGTTACTTATTAATCCTCTCCTTCTCTTTCTCAAGTCACTGTGGCTGCCGACAAAAATAATGGTTTTGAAATGATTTTTGGTAGCAAATATGCCATTAAATGGGTTGACACACGGCATAAAAACCGTTTATATTTAACCTAGACCTTCACTAGAAGTAACTCAGGAAGTTAGAACATAACGTATTTGTTTAAAATTGAATTAATTGATGGGGTTTTCATTCATTTTATATCTGAAATCGTTCAAACAGTTTGTTCATTAAAAAATAGTGAGCGATATCTTCAGTTCTATACTTTAAATACGCTTTCGGTAAGTCTTTGCATGTCCGCTCAATATGGACATTTGTACCGTAAACTTCACAACAGAAAATGAAGGAATTCAACGAGAAAAAGCGGCATTAAAATTCTACTTTTGACAAAAGACCAGATTTACACACGCGATTGCACCAAGTAAACGAGCAAACACCCTCAATCTCGAAACCGATTTAAATTTACATACAATTACTTTCCATTTACCGACTGAACAGAGCTATACTTCGTTCACCAATAGTTGATGGAAGTGAGTAATACTTTCTGTAAGATCATTGACTGTTTTTAAAGAAAAAATTCCCATGACAGACATTGAACTTAAGTTTGTTTGCCAAACCAGTGCCGTTGATGTTGTTGTTGTTTTCTTTTTTTTAAAGCGTGCATGCACTTTTGTTTCTTACACGCTCTCTACTTTACAGGTGTCAGGTTGTGACAGATAATTGTTAAAAAAAAGTTTCAAAGTTTGTTTGGAAGCCTCTTAAATCACCTTTTCCATTACACAAATAAAAATATTTCGGTAAAGCCTCTATTTAATTTGCATTACCTCAGTCTGTTTCAACTACCATTTACTCGTTCAAAAATTGTTCAGTTCATGGAGGATCTTGCCGTAATTACAGCCCTAAATCATTAGGGTTCTTTTGGAAAATATTTCGTTGAGTTTAAAAGAAAAAAAACTGTTATTCATAAGCTAAGGTCGCGAAAAACTGTGCACTCTGTCTTCAGTACCGGTACTCAAGACCTTGGGCATACGTACTTCGATGCGTTATGTTTAAAATAACACGGATTCACTCACTGACGTCAGTGATCACGCCTTGTAACTTGTGGCAAGGGAAAATTCCGTTGGTTAGATTATCCCAATCTCAGCGCGCTCGACAAAAGTTGTGAAATGTACAGTTTCCATCGCTGTTTTTCCAGCTGCAGGCGATGCAAAGAAGGGAAAATCCCAGGGTGATCATTTTTTTCGAAACATATGTCCCCGTTTTTGTCATGGCCATTATGTTCAACTACTGATACACGCTTAAAAGTTCATTCGTCGCTCACACGTACAAGTTAGGTGAGCCGAGCATATTATGTGAACAACATTTTTACTTTTAAGAAGCAAGATAAATTTTCCTGACACAAGTGCAAGACTGCAATGTTTCAGCACATAATATACTTTATGGTTGGAATGTGATCTTACCTCCGGGCATCTCGCAAATGAAGGCGTTTTTATCGTAACAGGAGATACTATTAAAGAGGCCTCCATTCTTAGATATTTCCGCGCAAGAGTCGTTGCCATCTGGCTGAGAATCTCGCCATTTCGAAATACTTAGATTTTCTCCACTGGACCAAGTCCAATTCCCGTATCTCTTCGTTAAACCAATGTGCCACGCATTAGTATTCGAAGTACCACGCTTTTGAATCTCATGACTGATAAACTGCCATTCTTCTTGAGTTTCGATGGAGACTAAGTCACCTCCCTGGTTTATACAGACAAGCCAGTTATGATGCCGATTTTTTCCGCTTTTCGAAAATATGTAGGATGAGTTTTTGAAACGAGTTGCTTGGCACTCTATGGGAAAAAATTAAAGGAATAAATAAACGAAAAAAAATGTATACTGATTGTAACAATAGTGATAATTCTGATGATGGAGACAGAGGAATAAATAAACGAAAAAATGTATACTGATGATGACAATAGTAATAACGATAAAGATGGAGAAGAGAAAAAAAATATACCATTAATGATAATAAAACAATGGGCATCAAAACCCTCTACTTCACCGAAGGAAAATTAGAATTAGGCAAGGTTTTAAAAGTGGAAATTGGGGAATCAGGGTAATTAATTTAATGTAATTTAATAAATAATTAATCTAGTAATTAATTTATTTACTTCTATAGCGCCCTTTAACATTTATATAATCAAAGGCGCTTTACAATTCTTCCACCCATCCCACCCCAGGGGAGGACATCCACCACACAGTAATCTCGTGCGTGGGAAATTAACGTCTCTACCCCAACCCTGCAGGAGACGGGGCCTACGGTTTTACGTCCTATCCGAGAATACGAAGCAATGTGAGTGAAGCGTCTTGCTTTAAGACACGACGTCATGCCCCAGGACTTGAACCCGGGCCGTCGGACCCAGAGTCCAGCACACTGACCACTGGACTACTCACGCCTCACCGTTAGTCTCTATCTTTTTTGTTTTGCTTTCCAACTAAAGTTTTTAATCGCAAAACGATGTCATTCCAGCAGGAAGTCTGACTAATTATTTTGATAATTCAGTATTAAATATTAAATTGTAATTACACTGCCTCACCTGTTCCTGCCAATTCCACCATCAAATGAAGGATGACTGTAGAAGAGAAAATGGGCAAAGTATATTATTGTTATGTCGAAAATAACTTTTGAAACGACCAAAGAGTTTTTTAGATTTCAAGATATACTAGTACTAAAGCATTTTAATTGTTAAAGAAATTGAAAGAAAAAAAATGCAGTGTCTCCGCAGTGTCTCCGCTGAACAAAACTTGTTGCATATCGAAAACATGTCAAAGGGATTCGTTTGGTTGGCGTTACTTGCAGACGTAACTTGGAAAGTATTATGCAAAGGGCAAAGGAGGTGAATAGCGAATACCGAAAAGTACCAGGTGAAAGTTCCCAGTTGTTCATAATGTTGTTCTGCTTATTCAAGGCATGACAAAAAACAGAAAAAAAAAAAAAGAAAACAATATCTGTTTTTCATGGAGTCGAGCATTACCAGCAAACAGAAGAAAAACGTTTCCGACTAAAGATGTTGATAGCGGTGGCGTGCTGCGAAAAGTATTATTTGAAGAATAATACGCAAAACAGGTTCAATCTGTCATATATCTCTTTCCTTTGATTTTGTTTACTTGAAGCTCAAAACTAATATGAAAATGAAAGAAAATTGTGGTGAAAAATGACAAAGACTCGGTTTGTAACTGTGCCTCGAAGTAACCGGGATGGGCGCTGATTGCATTGGGTAAAGACTTCACATGCTCGGAGCAAAGCAAATACTAGCGTCTCATAGCCTTGTTTTCCATGAATTTACCTAACTGCCACTGACAGCTGAAGATAATTCCGTCATTCTCTTTACCGGGAGGTTAAACATATGGATTAGACATTTAATTTAAATTCAAAAAGTTCAAAATTGTCACTTCTCGGAATAGATAACTTTAAATAAATGCACCCTACTCAAGTCGCGCGGTATTATTCCAAGTCAAGAGAGTGCCGTTGAGAAACCATTAAAGCGTTCTTTATGACCATCAGAAAAAAGTCTGGTGTGCTCAGAGACTTGCTACTTGAAAAAAGAAAAAAAAAAAACCAACAACAGCGTTAATTCCGGTTTGTTGGGTGCAGCTTTCCGTCCGTATTTTTGCACTGTTGTATAACGCAATACTGTGGGAAATTGTGCATGTTCATTGCCCAAATACGGCAAGTGACGCAGTAGTGGAGTTATAAAAAGGTATGTTTTGCAACAATGAATTAAACGACGAGGAACTGAGTAACTGAATGAATCTGAATGAATCTTTATCTAGATTTATAAAATTGAAACTATGCGTACCGAATTCTTTGAAAAAAAAACTTTTGACACCGATGTTTAATGCCAAATTTATCATGAGATCGATGAAAAGCATGAAGACGGTACTATGTTTCATTTTCTCTTTTTCTAACTGGAGTGGAATTTATTAATTAACTGTCTGCGGGGTTTTTGCGTCCGTTTAGAGAGTAATATTCTACAACTGAAGCCGATAAAAATGTCGAGCAAGTAGGGAGTTAATTAAAAGGGACATAAAAGGTAGACCCGTCAAAAGCTGAACTGTCACTGACGGCATTCATTTTAAAAAACTTTGTATAAACTTGCCTTCTGTTTACCACAGTTATCGTTTTCTATGTAGCGTGTTCATAAAATAAGCTCAAATGCAACTCCCATTTCTATACATGCAAGATTGCTCAAGGAAAACGTCTGAATAAGTTTTAGTCGACGAATTTAATTCGTTTTTTCGCGAAAGAGATCTTACATGGTTTTTTTGTGTATTTTTCAAGTGACATCTTGTCACACCACTTTCAGAATTGAAGGTAGGCAACTTTGCTATTATGTTCCTGAAACCCTTCATAATATTTCTGAAAGGTTTTGCACTAAACGTCAATTAAGGACAAGAATCGTGAATTACAACTACCATTCCAATTAAAAAAATAAAAACTTTTATCGTGGTCAACTGTTTCCAAATCATTTTGCGTCTGAAAAGAACTAAAAACTACATTTGTAAAAAAAGTTAAAACATATCTCTTCCTTTTTAAATCTATTTGTTTATTTTCATCACCTTTGTTATTTTCAAGTATTATAAAACTTGAGAACACACGTTACCAGAGTTCAGTTTGTTTGAATGAGATAGCCCAATAAAAGCCACCGAAAATATCATCCTATTGCCGGTTGGATTTCGCTTGGGGTTACAGGGTGTTCCAATAACGAGATGTTTATGTCTAACCAATCAATATTTACTGAACATTTTTATAGAATAACCACACGATGTATTAGAACTTCCGGATTGAAGCCCACTCATCGCCCAATTCTTCAATCTTATGATACACAGGAGTTGCCCTCAGCAAATGCCAGTATGCTTATGTTTTATAGTTCTTCGCTTGAAAACAACGCCAATGCGATAGATTGTGTACCGTATTAAAACTCTTTTGGAGGAGGTAATATGACATATGATAATACTCGATCGCTTCTCACTGAAATAAGCCACCACTATTTTTTTTTCCTTCATAAAAGGACCAATGAGACTAAAGGCTTTTTCTGCCAGGTGCGGAGTAATGGTGCGCCTCATCAAAATAAGAAATTTACTATATCAAAATAGCTGTAGTAGTTTACATTTTCTCATAACCCAGAAATAATAAACTAATGAAATACGTTTTTAAGAAAACTGCTGCAGGAATCATGTTTTAAGTTAGTTTGCTTTTGTAGATCAGTATTTTGCCCACCGAAAGTTTTATCGAGTATCTCATATGTTCAGCTGCACAGATGGAAGAAATTATCATCTATCCATCAAAGGAATGAAGCTGATCGTTGTAATTGGTAATGTTTACATGGTATGTTACTAACTTCACCGGTGGGACTGATCCTGTAATACATGTGCGTGGAATAAACGAGGAGAAGTAGGAGTCCTCTGGTCAATTAATGTCATGGGAACCGGAATCAGTCGGAGTAATATTTACCACAATGTTACATGTATTATAACGACACGCAGGGGAATCCAGCATCTCTTTGAAATGCGAGAAGCGCAAAGCACAATAACATCGATATTTGCCTATATAGTAATTGGAAGAATATAATTGCAATTAATATGGAGAGAAGCTCGAGCGCTCAAAGAAAGGTGCGCAATCGAAGCAAATGTGTGAAAAATTTCCTTTCAAAGAGACCAAAAGTGATCTTTGTAGGTCAATGTTAGAGACCGGTCTGGAGGGTGTAAAGGGGGGGGGAGGAACGGAAGAATTAGGATAAAATTTACCTTATTCTCCCCCTTTCCCAAGCGATTAATAATAACCGATTCCGTCATTAATTCTGACTTCAAAACAAAGCAGCATCGTTACAAAGAAAATGAATTTTGACCTTTAACAATCAACGTTTTGATGATTATTCTAACCGAAGTATTTTAATTTCCTAATTACAATTTCCATTATTATCAGTTAAAATTTTTGACAAATACGCATTCTCAGAATAAAACCTTTTCACTGCTGCTAAGCATCAACTGTTTATTGAAATGGCTGGTGACGGTATCTTAGCTTCCAAAATAACCAAGGATTATTGCTAACTCACCATAAAAGCGCGTTTATTTGAGTTAATGTCAATAGATCTGAGAACTTTGTTCCTCTTAGCATCTATTAAAATTAGCTTATTAGTCCGTATTTTTGCGCTGTTGTACAATGCAATACTGCGGAGAATTTTGCATATTCCGTTGCCCAAATAAGTGGCCTAATAGTGGATTGATAAAAAGGTATATTTTGCGACAATGAATGAAACGACGAGGAACTGTGAAACTGAATCAATCTGTTCTTCATGATGTAGATGTATAATTTTAAAACTATGCGCAGCGAGGTCTCTGAAAAAAAAACTATTGACTATCGATGACTGATGCCATATTTGTCATGGGATCGATGAAAAGCATAAATACGCTGCTGTGTTTTATTT